CGGAGTGTCAACAGGTTTACAACCTGTCATTCCTGTCTCCTCAAGAATATCTAAGGCATACTTCCGTTGTGAGATCACAATACCTGAGCTACACTGAGCAACCTCAATACCCAGAAAATACTTTAATCTGCCCAGATCCTTAGTCTGAAAGTGCTGAAAGAGATGTTGCTTCAACTTACTAATACCATCCTGATCATTGCCGGTAATAACAATATCGTCAACATAAACGACCAGATAAATACAGAGATTTGAAGCAGAGTGTCGATAAAATACAGAGTGATCAGCTTAACTACGAGTCATGCCAAACTCCTGAATAACTATGCTGAACTTACCAAACCAGGCTCGAGGAGACTGCTTTAGACCATAGAGGGACCGCCGCAACCGACATACAAGGCCACTATACTCCCCTTGAGCAACAAAACCAGGTGGTTGCTCCATATAAACCTCATCCTCAAGGTCACCGTGAAGAAAAGCATTCTTAATGTCCAACTGATAGAGAGGCCAATGGCGAACAGTAGCCATGGATAGAAAAAGGCGGACTGATGTAATTTTAGCCACAGGAGAGAAAGTATCACTGTAATCGAGTCCAAATATCTAAGTATACCTTTGGCAACAAGACGAGCCTTAAGTCGATCAACCTGGCCATCTAGACCAACTTTGACTGCATACACCCAACGACAACCAACAATCGATTTCCCCGAAGGAAGAGTAACAAGCTCCCAAGTACCACTCGCATGTAAAGCAGACATCTCGTCAATCATAGCCTGCCGCCATCCGAGATGAGACGGTGCTTCACCTATAGACTTAGGGATGGAAACAGAGAACAAAGATGACATAAATGCACAATAGGATGATGACAGACGATCGTAACTTAAACCGACATAATGAGGATTAGGATTAAGTGTGGACCGTATACCTTTTCGTAGTGCAATCGGTTGATTAAGAGGAGACAAGTCCGCAGTATTAGCAGGGTCAGGTGCAGGACGTGAATCAGTTGGGCCTGATGCTGGGCGCGGACGACGATGATAAGTCAGGAGTGGTGGAACTATAGAAGGTTGAACTGGACTAGGCGGTGGCACTGGAGCTATAGTTGGTGGAACTGGACTAGGTGGTGGCACTGGACTCGGTGGTGGCACTGAAGCTATAAGTGGTGCAGCTGCAACTGGAACTGTAGGTGGTGGAGCTATGGAGGAAGATGAAAGGGAGATAGGGACTGAATCTCCAAAAGAAGGAAGTAGTAGCACCTCAAAAATATCTAACTGATTAACTAGACCTGTGAAGTATGATTGGGTTTCAAAGAAGGTAACATCAGCAGACATAAGAAATCGCTGAAGGTCAGGAGAATAACATCGATATCCTTTTTGCATTCTCTGTAACCCAGAAATATGCATTTAAGAGCACGAGGAGCTAATTTATCTTTTCCTGGAGTAAGGTCATGAACAAAGCACGTACTCCCAAAGGCACGGGGTGAAAGAGAGAACAAAGGTAAGTGGGGAAACAGGACAGAGAATGGAACTTGATTTTGGATAGCTGAAGATGGCATACGATTAATAAGATAACAAGATGTAAGAACTGCACCCCCCAAAAACGCAGCGGAACATGAGATTGTATGAGTAGGGTACGAGCAATTTCAATAAGATGTATATTCTTTCTTTCAGCTACCCTATTTTGTTGGGATGTGTACGGACAAGATGTTTGATGAATAATCTCATGTGAGTTCATAAACTGTTGAAATGGGGAAGACAAATACTCTAGGGCATTATCACTACGAAATGTGCAGATAGAAACCCCAAATTGATTTTGAATTTCAGCGTGAATGGTCTGGAAAATAAAAAATAACTCAATTTTCATCAAAAATATACAAGTGCACCTGGAATAATCATCAATGAAACTGACAAAGTAGCGGAATCCCAAGGTAGAACTGACCCGACTAGGACCCCAAACATCTGAATGGACTAAAGTAAAAGGTGACTCTACTCGATTATCAAGACGCTGCGGGAAATGGGAGCGGGTATGCTTACCAAGCTGACATGACTCACACTCTAGAGTGGACAAGTGAGATAAGCCAGGTACCATTTTCTGAAGTTTTGACAAACTGAGATGTCCTAACCGTTTATGTAATAAATTTGGTGAATCAGTAACGGGACAAGTTATTGGAGGAAGACAAGATGTGAATCCATGTGATTTTGCAAGGATAAGGTAATAAAATCCATCTGATTCACGTCTGGTACCAATGATCCGCCCTGTACCTCGTTCCTGTATAAAAACAAGGTCATCAAGAAATAAAACAGCAGATTTAAGTAATTTGGCTAAGCGACTAATGGCTATGAGATTAAAAGGACTACCAGAAACATAAAGAGCTGAGTCTAAAGGTAAGGAAGGAAGTGAACTTACTTGACCTATTGCAATTTCCATGGCTTAAGACCCATTGGCCATTGTGACTATTGGAAGAGATTGAGAATATGAAATACTAGTGAAAAGAGATTTGTTACCAAAAATATGATCAGATGCACCGGAATCAATGACCCAAGACTCAGAGGTTGAAGATTGGGAGACACAAGTCACGCTACTATCTATTTGAACAACGGAAGCTATCCTGCAGATGTTTGTTTACATGTTTTATACTGAAGGAACTCCATATAATCCGGTATAGAAACCATATGAATTGCATTGGATCCAGTGGATTGTGAGTCAAAGGCTTGTGATATGAATGCCATTGTAATGTTTACGCCAGGAATAAAGCAAATTCTTTTTGGGAATTACTGTTCACACCGGAAAAATCGTTGTTCACGCCGGAAAAATATAAAAGTGGTCAGAATTTGATTTGAACTAGATGGGTAGGCTCGGAATTATGAGGAGAGCAAGCTATCCTGAAGGAGTTTCGCGAAAAAATGGCCGAAAAGTGGCCCACGCGCCCGAGCGTGGGTCAGAACCTTTGCCGGAAAATTTCTGTTGCCGGCGCATGGAGGCGCGTGGCAGCTTTTCTGCCGGAGAAATTTTAACGGGTTGGTCGCCGAGGAGTGATCTACCTCGTGGTGGTGTTGGTTTTTGCACAACACCGACAGAAAGTGACTTGCACGTAGACAGGCCTTAGGTCACCGGAAAAATTGCACGATGACTAAGTTCTTTCTTCTCGGTTAACGCTAGAATGACGCACAGCGATGTTTTCTCACTAATGCTCTGATACCATGTGAGAATGTACGGGAGAAACTATTATTGATTAATAATTACAATGATACAATGAGCCCTATATATATAATATATGTCCTACTCCTAATACATATGGGATTAGGATTATTTACTACTATTTAACTATCAAACTAACAGAGAGATAAAATATAACTTAAAAGATAATTTCCGAGAAAACTTGGGTTGTATAGTGAATGGTTGTTATACAGAGATGTTGTTATAGAGAGGTCTAGCTGTAGTTTCGTTGATTATTTTCCACAAACTGTCATTAATCCTTCAACTATGTGAATTTCTGACACTTAACCATCTTGTTTCCTTTTTTCTCTAACTTTTCTTTTTTTAAGTGTTGGAGCAACATACATCTACAAGCAAACACGTATCATCCAGAACAGGAGATTGTGGGTAAACGGATAGGCTCCAACTCTTGCAAATTCTTGCTTCAAAGTTGGATTCTTCCCAATTCAAAATTACAACATCTTTCCCTCTAGCTTCTTATATTTCAATGTAACCCTTAGGTATACTGGACCATTATAGAAATCTCCTTCCTTTAAAGCTTTTCTTCGTGTCAAAACTTTTAAGATGTCATTCATTAAAAATCATATTGAAAAGCTATTATACAGAAAAGAAAGGAAATGATTAAGTTAGAGAATGTCGATTTCTTGCATCCAGTTTTCGTAGTGTAAAAGAAACAAAAATCTCATTACCAACATTTAACAGAAACCACTTTTGTAGAAGGCTGTTGCAACTTCAGAATTTAGAGTTAAGATGTTTGCAATTACAGTAAAAAGAGAGATCACTCTACTTAATAAATCTAAAGAACTATTAAAAAAGACTTCAAAAGCTTCCACATACATGTTAGCCCTTTTCCAGTGCTTCAAAAGTTTGTTTCATTTCTCCGACAGCCAAAGAATTGAGAAGAGGCATTAGTTCATAAATCATCTTAGGAAGACCATAGTGCCAAAGGCTATTGTATCAGCTATTGATGTTATACCTAGAGATAAGTTTGCCTAAATATCCTCTCAAGACATTGCATGATGAGATTATCAGCTGCATCTAGTGTCATCATAGACGCACTTCAAGCGCACTTAAGCCCTGAAGCGAGGCTCAAAACATGCTGAGCGCTTCACCTCGCTTAACGGGCGCTTCAGTGTTATCATCAAGTCTCTAAGACATACTTTTCCTTGCTAACGAGCGTAATCCAGAAGACGCGATACTACACAATTGATATTTCACTTTATTGTAAATTTTCTTCAATTTCTTTGTCCATATATTTGGTATTCATATCTTGTAAATTTTCTTCAATTTCTTTGTCCATATATTTGGTATTCATATCTTGTAAATTTTCTTCAATTTCTTTGTCCATATATTTGGTATTCATACTTATAGATATTAGTCTTGGACTACACATATATATTTGTAGTTTTTCTCCATTCACGTCTTTCTTCATTAAAACTCACGTTTTATTTGTGCTTTGTGCTTAAAGCCCCGACAGAACCTAGAGCTTTTTCGCGCTTTTCGCCTTTGATAATACTAGCTACATCTTTAATTCGTTAATGACTTCTACTGTTTCAAGTCAAAATAGTGTGTTTCAAATATTGTAAATCTGATCATGCTAGTTCTTACAGGAAGTAGAATGTGTTTGTGTCTCTCTATTTATTTTTCCTTTTGATTGGGG